ACAAGACACAGTAATGGACAGGATGAAATGATGTCAAAAAATCCATCGTCGAAAACGCACAGGGTCCTTATTCTTGAAACAGAGGAGCAGCGGTCCCAGGAGAACGAGTGTTCCGTCTTTAACAATTATATTATCAGTTTCATATCATTGAGAAAAAATGAACAATCGTTCTACTGAGAACGCTGCTCCCTTGTTTCAAGAATAAGGTCCCTGTACTTTTGTGCATGAGTGAACCAAAAAAAAAAAGAAAGATTGGACGACCGACGAGATCTTAGATTTGATGGATATGATATGAAAGACGAAGTAAAAAAGGCAGCACTCCAATACGATGAAATTAACGAAGAAATAAAAAAGTTGGCAAAACAAGAATGGATAATACAGCAATGTCGAAAAATAGAATATTTAGAAATGACACTTTTAATTTGCACAAGCGCATGAAGGAGGCAGCCGGATTATTTAATGAAAGAACCTGACCAAAGAAAAATTTAAAGAATGGTGTAAATACATCAAAAATCTCTTTAGTGATAATTGGTCCGAACATCCAGAGGAACTCTCAGATCAAGGATCCAATGCACCTGCCAGATATGACAATGGTGAACCATTTAAGGGTGTCAGTATGGCAAGTAGTAACATAGTACGAAGTATAACAAGTTTGCAACGGTTTTCTAATAATATTGATGTGGTTGATTTGTTTAATATGTTTAATTATAAGTGCTTTGTTGGAAGTAAACCATTTTTAAATTTTACAGGATTGAAAAAATTGGCAACGGTTATTTCGGAAAGTCTGAAATCGTTTGTCAAAAATAGTAATAATAGTAATAAATCTAATTTGATCCATCTGAAACTATTACGATCTGGGAATGACTGTAGCCAATTTGAATATGGGGGGGCCGTTGATGCTACTGCTCTGGGCATTGATGAGGCTGCCCCTTTTTTAGAGAAACCTCTCCACACACAAATAGGTATATAAATAATAATAACTTTACTTTGTTTTTGTTAAATATTCAATCTGTAAGAAATAAAAAAGATGAACTGAGTGTACTTCTGGAGTTGTGTAATAGTCCTAATTTTGTCTTGTTGACGGAGCACTGGTTGAAAGAGAATGAACCATGTTATATTCCTGAGTACAATATAGCATCAATCTATTGCAGAAAACAAATTTTACATGGGGGAACTATAATTCTTGTACACAAAAGAGTCTGTGATAAATTTTTAATTGTGAATGTGGATAGGTTTAATAGTTTGACAGTCGAAAGGGAGTTTGAATTCTCAATAATTTTAGTTAAGTCTTTTAATCTATATGTAATGTGTATCTATAGACCTCCAAGCTGTGAAGTCAATGTATTTATTGATTGTCTTGAAATGCTTTTGACTGGATTGCCTGTTCGTTCCAACATTATTCTAGCGGGTGATCTCAACATAAACTTTACTGATGTGGGATCTTTGGCCACACAGTCGCTTAATTGCCTTTTGAGGTCGCTAAACCTAAAAATGCATGTCTGCACACCCACTCGGATTTCGCAGTTGTCTGCCACTATGATAGACTATTTTTGCTCAAATATTGAAGACAGCAAAATTTTGGACTGCAGAACTATTGCGTCTGGATTGTCTGATCATGAAGCTGTTTTGCTTACTTGTTGGATGTTTCTCACTCTCAAGAATCTTTGGCAGATTTGTTGTTTGGTTTCTGATTCTCAAATATTTCGGTTGAATGTTTTCTCATTCTCAAGAATCTCTGGTGAATTAATTGGTGTGGTTTCTCATTATCAAAGATGTCTTTTTTGATCGACATTTTTTAGAATTTGTTATTAGTTTTTCATTATTTCATTCGGAAGAATCCCTTTTTGAACTGTCGTAGTTCCCCATTCCCAAGGAATAAAAATCTCTTTTGAATCTGGCTAGTTTGTTTCAAACTCACAAAAATATCTGTTGAGCTGTTTTTCATTTTTGAAGATCTCTGTTGGATGTTTCTCATTCTCAAGAATCTTTGGTTAATTTGTTGTTTGATTTCTGATTTTCAAATATTTCGGTAGAATGTTTTCTCATTCTCAAGAATTTCTTGTGAATTTATTGCGTGGTTTCTCATCATCAAAAATGTCTGTTGAATTGGTTGTCATTCTTCAAAATTCTGTCATTAGTTTTTCATTCTGAAGAATCTCTGTTGAATCTGTCGTTCCTGTTGAATTTGGCTAGTTTGTTTTTCATTCGCAAACATAATTGTTGAGCTGTTTTTTCTTTCTTGAAGATCTCTGTTGTTTGATTTCTCATTTTCAAGAATTTCTGGTAAATTTATTGTGTGGTTTCTCATCATCAAAAATGTCTGTTGAGTTGGTTGTCATTCTTGAGAATCTGTCTTGTAAATTTTCATTGTAAAGAATCATTGGATCTGTTAGCTGTTTCCCATTTGCTTTAAGTATGGCCCTCTTTCTCATTTATCGTTCGCTTGCGCTTTATTAAGCCCGGTTTATTCAACTTATGATAAACTGTTAGAAAATGCAATCTGAGGGATAAAAATTGGGCCAAAATAATCAATTCAAGTCACAATAGCTTTGAAGTGCACAAACCCAACTGCTGGGACATTATTCTCGAGACAGGGAAGCAGTGTTCTTATGAGAACGAAGGTTCTGTCTTCGTCGTCCGTATTCGTATTTCCATAACACTGACAATGACAGAGCAATCATTCTCATGAGAACGATGTTCCCCGGTTTCAAGAATAAAGTACCTGGAAAACAACACATATACCTACTTAATACAAAAATGAAGAATAAGATTTAATTATATTTTTTTTTTTTTTTTTGGAAAATTATCTTAGGTTTTCAACTAAAAATGGTGGCCATTTTTTTCTAACTTGCCATTGCAATATTTTATGGGACTTTTAGTATGTCATGATGAATGACCATAAAAACAATATAGTTTCGTTGAAAAAACCCTTGTCATTAATTTGTTCCACCCCAACTGCCAATTTGACCACACTATAGCAACTTGTTACATTTTTGTACAAGCTGTATTATTGCATTTAGAGTATTTCTCTTAAGAGAGAAAATTGAAAGAAAGATGAAAAACAAAAAGCTGGTGATCGGGTTAATCGGATCAGCGTTTCCGAAAGGACGCAATGTAGGATCTAACAAAATGGCGTAAGTCTAATATTTGGATATACGCCTTTTAGTCAGATCCTATTTGTAATTGCTGTGTACTTACGCCTTTAGCTGATTTTATATATAGAGAGAAGTAATACCTTTGAGCATACGCGCTTGCGTCAGATCATACATACAACTCTAAAAAATCACTCGGCGACCTTAACTCAAATTCGGAATAATTGACCGTTACGCCCCTTTGTCAGATCAGCGACGAAATGTGGAAGAAGTAAGGATGATTTTTAAGGAAATGATAAACAAGAATTCCGCAGGTTACGACGGAATTTCAGTAAGAATATTGGAGTGCTTGCCTGAGTCTGCATTGCATGCACTTGCATGTTCGATTAATCAGTCATTCGCAATAAAGTATGATTGACTATGACTATGACTAGACGTAAGAATACAGGAAGTACAACACGTATTATAACAGTAGCTGAGAACAAAAAAGCGGTAGGGCAAGACGAAGTATACACGGAAGTTTTGAAGCTAATAAAAAACGAAGACTCGCTGATAACAAAAAATAATTCATGGAATATGCGAAACCTTCACGGACACAGTTCTGATTTCGGTGGAGGGTTCGGTACAAGTGAAGCCTTATTTGGTATTCAGCAATCTAGAGATGTGTCAGTTCCAGTATATGCCTGTTTAATAGATTATGTGAAGGTTTTTGATGCAGTCAAGAGGTTTTGATTTGTCGAAGAGGTTGGTATAGATGAACGAGATCTAAAGATTTGCCAACCTTCACTGAAAACAGACCACAGCTCAAATAAGGGTTGATGGTCAATGGTCAGGAAAGTTCCGCCGATTGTTCGAATAAGAGTAGTTCGCAAAGTTGCAAATTGTCTCCGCTGTTGTTTAATATCTACAGTATTAAAATGATTGGGAATGCACTTCAGAACTGCGAAGAGGGTCTGACTATAATACGGCATGAAAATCATCAACCCAAGATATACTGCCGACATTGTCACAAGCAGCAGCAGAAATACTATAACAATTTGTGGTTGAACATTTCAATAACGGAAATGGTAATATGGCTGTACAGAGACTGGTACTTATAAACAAACCATCAATTATTATGAACGAATATCTAGTCAAAGGCTTATGAGATATTTAAACCAAAGATCGGAGATTTGTCAATTACAGAAGGAAAAAAACCAATACTTTGGAGAAATTAATGACACATAGAAGAATTTCTGGAAGAAACACGAAAGGTTATTTCCAGAACCATTCATGCTGCTTGGAATAAGGGGCTAAGAAAAGTAACCGCTGCGAAAGAATAGGATATTGAGTATGACTGCAGATTACGGCTGACATCTTGCCGTCCTTCTGGTGACTTAGCCTCAGCCTTCAATGGAAAAGTTGCAACAACACAAATTTGAAATCAAACATCGTTCTAGTAAACCCCCGTTTGCAATGTCACTCCCAAATCTCGACTTAGGTGTATAGGTTATTCTCCCAATTCAACTTAACAATGATGTGAACAAACAACCAGAAGGCTAATTCTTGACTGGCACGAAATATACAAAAATTTCCCCGTTAAAAGCGAAATGGCGATAAATATTTGTTGACGTGAGAAAAATTTGGTTTATTAACCAATTAAGTTTTACCTTCCTATTGCCCATAAAACCATGATAAATATACTTTTATCTGAACAACGATAAATCTCTGACGTACAGTAGTAGCAGGATATTAACGTACACTTACGCATGCAGATTTCTTAATAAAAGTACATGGATACTATATGTTTTATCAGGATTATAGTGAATATGTTAAAAAACCTGTTTCCATGTAAACTCATGTCATGTGAGCATTACTTAATATTTTAACCAATTAATATGAAAATTTGTCAATTAAATAATTACCTACTTATATTGGTCTGTTTGCATTAGAAGTATGGAAACTCCAATAGTGAGACCCACAAGAATTCCCGCCAAAAATATTGGAATTGCCGGTCTAGCAAGAAAATTGATCTGGAAAAAAACACAAAAAACTTAGAAGGTCCCACAACAAATTATTATCAGCGGCTGCTAACGAGTAAACCTCGGAGTAAACAGTACGCATTCTAATCATTGTTTCTAATATAAACAACTAAATATCAGCAATTTTTTCGCATATTATTATTGTTGCTAATGGGATTCCAATTTGGTATATTAAAATTATTTAAAAATAGGTATTTTCTCTTGGTTTTAATCCAACCCATTGAACTTCCACAATCAACAAAATATTGTTTCATAGACTAAAATGATTATTAACCATTTATGGTTACTTACCATTGGTACTCTCATTCTCTCCATCAGGTTTTTGACAAACTAATTCTTGATGAAATAATTCCTATTTATATTGGCAGCAAGATTAAAAAAATCACTCGAAAATCCGACAGAAACCAAGAAAAAAACTCACGCAAGTACTTGAGATAATCTACCTACTAAAATATTAGGACTGGTTCTATATACCTACACTTTACATACATTCTGAATATAGAATTGTAGGCTTTTAGTGATAAGACTTGGCTTGTTCGACAGGTGAATGGAGCGATAAGGTGTTATCTAAAAATCTTAATGTCCCTCTATTATCATTATATTATTATATTATTTGCTGATGAAAATTAATTAAAAGGGGATTTTTTCCCTTGAATAGACACTTAACTTGAATGACATTTCATAGGCCTAGGCCTCATAAAATCACAAAAAGTTTGAATTATTTTATGATAATATCGATCAAAATAGAAACGTCAATTTCTAGTGAATTATAATATGATTAATAGTTATTTATCCACCAAGTGAATGTAAATGAATGTTTATTCATGAGAAGAAAGTTTAACCCACGAGCTCTAGCGAGTGGGTTAATTTTCTTCAAATGAATAAACATTTTAACTCACGTGATTTATACAAAATTTTATTCCATTTTGATGGACATTCAAAAAATAAGGTTCTTAATAGGAATCAAATTATAAACAGAATTCATTTAGTAGTTATGAAAGCGCTTATTATTGAAATTGGTGGTTGCTAAGGTATAACCTTAGATTGTATAACTAGTTGTTTGTATTTGTAGCAGATTTTTATACTGGCAGAGTGACTTAAAAGACCGAGAGTGAGTTAAAAATATTTTAAGTCACTCAGGTGATAAACGTCTACTTACCTTTGTTATTATGCGTTCAATAATGTCATTTTTAAACGTCAAAATGGGATAAAATTATTTAAAATAAACCGGAGACAGGGACGGAGCCACGGGGGGGGCTGGGGGGGTGGCGCCCCCCCCCAAAGTTCCTAAAATATATCGAAAGTTGGGAAAACTAGGATAAAAAAGTTGGAGTTGGGAAAATTGGTAGACAAAAATTTGCGCACCTTATTTGCGGGGACTAATTAAAATTAACATTAGGATCGTGTCACGTGTCGTAATGAATTGCAAAATCACCGGACAACAGAATGACAAAATCCCAATGGTCGCAGCGAATTTCTTGCGTTGCACTTTGCACTGCACTAACGCCACTAGCCTGCGGCAGTGGCACGTGACACTTGTGGCAGTAGTAGCACTAGCGCCACTAGCGCTATATAGTATATTAGATAATCCAAATTTCTTATATTATGTCGCCTTCTGCGTTCTGCGCATTCTTCGCTCGCTATTCAGATTTCAGCCTAACTCTGAATCCTGGTGCTCTTGAGTTAAAGAAATAGTTTTTAAAAAGTTTCACTTCCTAACACGTGTACGATGCTACACATGATTTTTTTGAAGTGAAACTTCTTAGGCGGCGGTCTGATTTGGACGAGAATGGAATTACACGTTTTGGCAAATTTCGGCACACGAGAGACGAGAGAGAAGAAAGATATAACGTAGAAAGGCGGAGAAAGTCAGCGAATGATAATGACAGCCGACGAACAATTGACACAAACCAAGTGAGAGAGCGTGAGTCACAGCGAGTTTTTGTGAACCTAAGTAAGAATAGGTAATGCGTGTATTACTTCGCAGCGTGACGTGACGCAGTTTTGGTCCTGCGGAACGCAGTGTATTTGCCGCAGTTTTTCTCGTAGAGTCACGGTGCGTGTTCTGAATGTTTCGAAAATTAATTGAGGCTGTGCGGATTCGACAAGTTTCGCGAACAAAACTAAAAACTGAAAAGCAGCAGCTGCCATTTTATCTGCACTGTGGGTCTGCCTGCGAAGTGAAAACTGTCACTGTATTTGCGCGGTTACTCTTGTCAAGCGCCGATACCCTTGTGACGTCAATACAGATGCGCGTTTATCTTTTATGTCGCAATCTACAATCTACAATCTTTTGTGTAGCCTTTCGTCTCTATACCCCGACTCATCCGCTACATGTGATTTTTTTTTATGTTTTAATAAAGTTGGGAAAATTAGGAATGTGACCCCCCCCCCCCAAACCAGAGGCCTTCGCTACGTCCCTGACCGGAGATTATGTGATTAAGGATTTCCTATCAGAGGCACTAGAAAATTTTGACTGCAAAACTAAAAACAAACATTTGTTCGTCGATTTTTAACATTTTAACTGACACTTTTCGTATGAGGAGCGAAGGTAGAGATGCGCACGATGTATCGATGTTTCAAAAGCATCGATTTTCCTATTTCGATGTTTATATCGATGTTTTTTCATTCGATATTATTAGAGAAGATCGATATTTTTTTTGCGATGTTTTTTCGATGTTTTCTTCTAAATACTAAAATACTACACCAGTACTTTCAGTCCCTTAGCAAAATTTAAGGAAAATCTATTTGTTGAACATTGGGAAGAAATAAAGAGCAGTGCCGGCCTTACCTGATTTACCGCCGGGTGCAATTTAAATCCCACCCCACCACCTCAAGGTTCTTAGTTTTTATAGTTAAAAATACCTACATCATCAGAGCAACCTTCTTTTATTCGAAGATATTTTTTGAAAAAATTAAAATTAAAAGTTAGTAAAAATACATAAATTGGTAGGTACCATAGCTGATAAACAACTAAAAAAATTAAGCAACAATAATAAATATCACGAATAAACTCAAGAAAAACATAAACAAAGTGAAAAAGAGCGATTTCACAAACACAGAGTAACAGTATGTGAAATTTGTGTGGAAAAATGGTACCTATACATTTATTTCAAAAACATTAGCACCATGCAACAAATATCATATCCTAAAAACCAACCATTTTTTTTTTAAAAAATATACTAAAGCCCGGTTTATTCACCTTCAGATAAACTTGCTGGTAACTATCTGCAAGATAAATTTACCGTTTTTATTGGTCGGCGGATAACTGGCCGATCAAAGATTGCGCCAGATTGTATACCTGACAGTTTATCAGAAGTTGAATGAACCAGCCCTAAATAGTGTTATTAATTAGTCTGATTTGAATTCGCTTTTACTTTCTTCAGACATACAGGCCTTAATAAACAGAACATTAGACGCTGAGTCTTTTCCAAGATTTTATTGCGTTTCTCCTATTTCTTTTAAATTTTTTTCGTTTCCAAAAAGCACCACCTTCATTTTATCAGCTTGAACAGTTAGAAAACAAATATAAATACTGCCACGAATTCCGGGTTCACTAAAACTCACTTCCCAAACAGTAACAGCTTTTATTAGATTAATTGACTTTATACAAAATTCACTTAGGTAGGTAGGTATCTTGGGTAGGTATCACTATTCGAACCTTATACGACAAAAATCGAATTCCAACTGACTTAAAATATTCTTACGCTCTATTTATATAGTCGAAATTGCACTCGGAATTAAGCCAGAAAAACATCGAATCGGATATAATAGAATTTTAGAAAAAAGCACACTGCCTACTGCCTGACATGAACAAGTGACTGACTTAATTTCTTGGAATCCTGGCGCCGCGATATCAATGCATCTTCGTAACCTCCCTTCTAAATCAGATCATCCAGATCTGACTATCAAGACGCACCACATCCTCTTCTTCGGCTATAGTTCCACCCAGATCCATAATGACTCAATCTTTTTTCTTGCCTAACATCACTATGCCTGTCTAAGTGGACTGCGACCTGAAGCTAGCGCCTTAAGACCGCTCGGCCATCCTGACTTCCCACATCTATCCATGCCAGGATTAAGGGGGGGGCTAACGGGGCTGCAGCAACAAGTGTGTAAAGTGAACCCTTTTTCACAAATGTGAATTTTGACGCACGAGCCAAAGGCGAGTGCGACAATCACATGAGTGAAAAAAGGTGCTTTACGCACGTATTGCACACAACATTTTTTCTACTACCAATCAAATATGTGTAAAAAAATAAATTTAGACAAATTCTTCACGCATGCGTGAAGTAATTTACCAGAAAAATAGTAATCATCTGTCATTGACTTTACTTTATGCACAAGTGTGTGAAGTGAACTATTTTACGCACTAGTGCGTGAAGAGAAATTCTACGTCTTCTGAATAGTGCGTAAAGTGAGTACTTTACGCACGGTAGTAGAAAAAAAGTATCCTGACATAATTTTGTGAAACATGTATATCCTCTATTCACAATGCGTAGTCCAAAGGTAAAGGTAAATTTATCACCTTTCCCTATCAAAAAGCACTGAAAGGTGATACATTTCACCTTTACCTTTGGACATCGGATTGTAAATAGATAATAGTTACAGCAGTGTCAGACTGTTATATCAGAAATATAGTTTTTTTTTATATAGGTACAGGCTGTCCCACGCGGTTTTTCCCAAATGATAATTTCGGAACGCATCATCGTATGTTCCACTGTATAATATTTTATCATTTTCTTTAACAAAGCCTTGACAAACATAGCATTGACGATTTAGTAATTTAATTTTCTAACGTAAAATGCCATAATATACCATGAATTATATTTAAGATTCGAAGGTTGACATCACTTGGCCGAAATTGAAGCGAAAGTGGTGAAATTGGATGACGATGGTAGAAGCGGCATAAAAAGTTACCCACATCCTCAATTTGAATTATATTGGATGATGCGTTCCGAAGTTATTACCTGGGAAAAACGTCGTGGGACACCGTGTATATTTTTTGCACTTAAATTTATGAAGGGCCCCCTAAAATTTCACTAGCCCCGGGCCCCATGAAAGCTTAATCCGGCCATGCATCTATCCACATGTATGCATGGCTCTTCTTTCCTTATTGAATTGACGTCATAAATACTAGATAAATGGCTACCTGGTCCTGTTCCCTGTAGATTGCTTCTGAAACCGCTTCCGCATTTATGTTGACGCTTCCGGAAAGGCCAAATTAACCAGACAGCGGATGTCGATTTCAAATTCTTGTAAGCTTTCTGCAACTTTTTGATGCCTTGTTCTTAGTTTTACCTGGTAAAGCTGCTTTCGGTGTTGATCTCCATAACGGCGCCCTAACGCATCGACAAGCGCACCATAGTTTTGTTGGGAAACTGGCGGAAGAGTCTCTAATATTTCTGAGACATCGTCATGCAATGCTTCAATAAAGCCTGCAGTGCAGCCGTGTCATCTGATCTTCAGCCATTACCCTTTGAAACAATCTCGAATTGACGTTTTTACATGGCCCACGATATCGGTCCGTCATATTATCCAAAATTCACTTATTTCACTATTTGTAACGTATACGACAAAAATCGAATTACCACTTCTATTTATTAACAGTTTAATTTTTTCTTACCATATATTTTCAAAAACATCGATGTTTAGAAACATCGATATTTTCAAGCCGATGTTTTCTCAACATCGATTGTGCATATTCGATGTATCATTTGATATCAACATCGATGTTTTCAAAATTTTGCGCATCCCTAAGAGGGGGTGTTTCATATGGCAAAAACAGGTGTGACGTCAGATTGGCGTTCTAATGTAGCGAGCCACCAGCTCATATTCCGTCTGAGTATGTTCAGCACTGGGACTCAATTTTATTATATCTTCTCACAAGCAAGTTGGACAATACTACAGTGGCTAAATAAACCTTTACATACAGTGGCGACAATAGAGGTCCCGCCGCCATTTTGTGCCCAAGCTCTTTGCTACTTTTGAATATGAATATATAGGATTTAAATGGACATCCATCATAAAAAATTGAAAACAACGTATTTGATGTGCCTAATTATAGTCATCGGATACCGACGTTGTTTTCAATTTTTTATGATGGATGTCCATTCAAATCCTATATATTCATATTTAAAAGTAGCAAGAGGTTGGGCACAAAATGACGGCGTTTGTCATATGAATATATGGGATTTTAAAGAACCAGACAAAAAGAAGACGGCAATTGTCGCCACTGTGGTAATAGACTCACTGTAGACAAATTAGACAATACAACCCGTCGAGAATGGGAAGTATTCAACAAACCAAACAATGCAACTTATTCAAATTTTTTTAGATATTTTGAAAAACAAAATACAGGTCCACAAGTGGGAAGTAACGAAAAAAAATCGTTACTTTACATCAGTAACGAGTTATTAAAAGTAGCGCGTTACTTGGTAGCTTCGTTACTTTTTGTATTGATTTTAAAATAACTGTAACGGCATTACTTGTCAAAAGTAACTGCAGACCGTTACTTCGTTAAAGTAACAAGTTACTATGAAAGTAACCCATTACTGTACTGTAAAGGTAACGCGTTTTTTTTTAAAGTAATGGGTAAAGGTACGGTTTGTTAGGAGAGTACGCGTCGCACAACTGACAACGTAAACGTCGTCATTGGTTCAGGTATGACCATAGGTATGACGTACACCCGTTTTCTCACGTCAGAAGACGGGTATACGTCATACCTGAACCAATGACGATGTTTACGTTGTCAGTTGTGCGTCGCGTACTATCCTAACAAACCGTACCTTTACTATAAAAGTGCGTTAAGTACTTTGAAATAACGCGATACCTACTCTAATAAAACAACAAAATACTCAAAATAGTCAAAACACTGATAACGTTGTCTAGATATTTCGGGTAATGCTTATAAGTTTTGGAGTACTAGTAGATGAGCTTGAATTTCAAGAGCTAAAAAAAGTTTAATTTACCAAAGTAGGATGTATTTTTCGTGAACCATCAAAATTTGTCATCAGATAAAATGAATGAACAATATAATGTTCAATAAATAATAATTCAAGTTATGTTTGAATGGAACGCCCTGAATACTATAGAATTTTTGGATTTCTCTTTGGATTCTAGAGAAGCAGTTGTATGACATAATAATATGGTAGGTATATAGGTACATGAAGTATATAGTACCGATTACCGATGAATTCAAAAATATAGGTAAGTACAGGGTGTTTCATTTCTGTTACTAATAAAATGTACAATAATTACCTGTCTGTTTTATTTGATATCAAATTCTAAAGGTTTAGCAAAAGACTTAAATTTGTAATTTAAGCTTTTTTCGAACTCAAAAAGTTTGAGCGGTACTCCTACAGAAATTACAGAATAAACGTTTTCACATTTAGAATGTAATAATACATTTTTGAATAATTAATCTTTTTGAAGTGCAACTTCTTTACGCACGGTAGGGTAAGTTCGCTTCATGCGAGTTACTATAAAACAAAAACATGCAACGGTAGGCCTCTCTTCTACTCCACGTAGTCGAGTTATACCATTAAACCAATTTCTCAACTCCTTTCTTGGTATGCTTATGTGTTTAAAGAAGTTTCACTTCAGTAGCGTGTTGTATGATCATACGTTGTATTTTTTTAAATTTCATGCTTCTCACTTCCAACGCTGTGAATGTTCTATGAATGATATAGATTGTAGAACGGCTAAAAAGACAGCATCAAACTTCATTTTTGAATAATATTGAGGAAAATCATCTATTTGAAATATTATTTCTTCAAATTTTAAATTTTAAAAACGTTTACTATAGAAAAGCAAATGGTAAATGTTGCAACCATGTATGCGCTGTGAAGTTTAGGGCCGAACGAAGACGCGCCACAAAAAGCGCACCGAAGGGTAGACAGAAAATGAAAGACCAGGAAAGAAGTTGTCCGCCTGAACTGATTGTTCAATCAAGTTTGTGATTAGTTTATGTGTCATAAGGAGCATTCACAGGTCAGTTGAATAATAGTATCCCCGCGTGTTTATTCTCATCAGTGACTTCACCGATGAGTAAGCTATCTTCGTTCAGTGAATGGAAAATGACAATGACCGACATAGAATGGTGGATCCATCGGTAAAATTTGATGAGAATAAAAACACAGGGTATTTTACATTATTAGCCAGGTAAAACAGTTTTTACTGGTGATTGAAGGCAATGACTAGCGAGCCGTCAGGCGAGCTTGTCACCTTCAAAATTTTACCTATGAGCATCTACATCTCCAAAAAAAGGCATTGATAAAATTAATTAATGAATCAGATTAATTAATGAAATTAGATTAGATTTAGAAATTATCAAAAATCCATTTTCTGAAAAGGAAAGGATTTTTGATTATAAATATCAAATTCTGCTTTACCGCACACTATGCGGTAAAGTGCACTTTACCGCACACTTTGTAGTCCACTTTACCGCACACTATGCTGTAAAGTTAACTTTACCGCACACTATGCGGTAAAGTAACTTTACCGCATAGTGTGCGGTAAAGTGCTACTTTCCATTTGCAAATATGTGCGGTAAAGTGCACTTTACCGCACGCTCGTAGGTAAAAAGTTTTTATTTACAACCACATACGTAATGTTGACATTTCTGACTTTTCAAAAGTTGGAAAGTGACACTTTTTTGAATTTTACTTTCCACCCGGGTGGAAAGTAAGTTCTCATTTCAGTCAGAACTTGTCAACAAATTTTTAATTTTTTTTTTAGTATTTAGTCGAAATTATGAGGGTTGTAATTGTTGTAAATAAAATAGTATACAAACCTCGGTAGGAAGTTTCATTCCTGTCTCGAGATTATAGTTAACTTCGACGCTTCGCGTCTCAGTTAACTAACTAATCTCTCGACAGTAATGAAACACTTCCCACCTCGGTATGTAATATACTATTACAGTTTAGCTGTCAATTTTACAAGGCAGTAGAGCCAGTAACTGGTAAAAATCAATTTTCGTTGTTTATGTTTTGACTTGATAAAATGACGTTTTACAAATGAGTGACAAATAAATGTTATTTTGTATTTGAGAGTTCAATTTATAAAAGTATTATTTTTTAATTTTTATGTTTTTTGTTTGCTCATGTTATGAGCAAAGCATTGTTTATGTATTTACCAAAAATCGTTCCATGCTGTGAACAACGTAGATAAAAAACTTACCTAATTAAAACCTAAGAAATTATGTGCTGTTTTTGTGCTGGGATTTTAATTTTTGTATTCAGAGCGTGCATTAGGGCCTTGTTGAACCTACTATAACTTTCCTACCCTGACTTGGCGAATATCCTAGCAAACAAACAAATGATCAGTCTAGAGATATTATAGCTCAAAAACAACAACTATAGCTGATTAGCCTCCCGAATGGAACCTCAGTACCTACCGGCAGACTGGCTAACTAACCAAAAACTCTTCAGTATTGAATATAGGTGGTGTTGATTGAATGTGGCGTGTGGAATTAAAAAATTTAGCACAGACACGGTACCTAATTTAAACTATTATTGAATTACAATTACAAATATTATTGGAAAGGGCACAGTATGTTATGATTCTTGAGGAATTGAGATCGAGGGTTTCTTTGCCGTGCTCTTGCCCCTCGTGAGTCCCAGGTTGAGAACGGTACGATTTTCTAATAATAAATTAGACGTTTCACAAATTTTTCGTTTATTTTACAAATCACAACTTCCCTTAAATTTCCCTAATTTTGCTACTGTCGGGCGCATATCAAGTAAGTAAAATTGAATAAGTTTTCGACAACGTAGGTTCCATTTGTTTATCATTCTGTTTTTCAAAAGATTCGTTAAAAGAAGAAATAAAAATTCAATCCGTTCAATCTTGCTGAACGAACCCGGGTATGTTATACTACAATATATTTTACCTGCGAGCGTGCGGTAAAGTGCACTTTACCGCACGTATTTGCAAATGGAAAGTATCACTTTACCGCACACTATGCGGTAAAGTGCACTTTACCGCATAGTGTGCGGTAAAGTTAACTTTACAGCATAGTATGCGGTAAAGTGGACTACAAAGTGTGCGGTAAAGTGCACTTTACCGCATAGTGTGCGGTAAAGTAAAATTTAATATTTTCAATCAGAAATCCTCTCTTTTTCAGAAAATGGATGTTTGATCATTTCTATATCTAATCTAATTTCATTAATTAATCTGATTCAATATTTAATTTTATCAATGCCTTTTTTTAGAGATGTAGATGCTCATAGGTAAAATTTTGTACCTAACACATGCGGAAAGTGCCTTTACCGCCCTTAACGGCCGTTGCGTGCGGTAAAGTATCACTTTCCGCATTTGTTAGGTAAATAACTAAAACATAACACTGTAAACTGCTGGAAAATTCAAGTGGACCATACAAATTTTGATACATCAACTTTAAAGTCAAATTTTGTGCAAATAAACTAAGACATTGGTGCGCGGTACGGTTTGCAAAAGGGAAGTTAATTTCTGAACACATCTATCTGTTCCAATATTTTTGCCCTCTGAAGACAGGCAGACACTGAGACGCTTCAATTCAAAAAAAAGCAGGTAGTTATGTTGAATATGTTCAAAACCCAGGTTCTCTAGTAAATTTTGCAAACTGCGCATCAGCTTTTCATTAAACGCTTAGCCGGCCAATTCGTTTAAATTTTGCAACATAACTCTTCCACATAGTCAAACATACTGGGTGGGTACCTATTTGGGTTATTTGGTGTTCGGACTGTTTGGTGAGTAAAATTAAGGATTAACAAGCAATTTTCGAACTAGAGAGTTATTTTTGAAGTAATAACACATTACTTCGAAAGTAACGCGTTATTTAAAAGTAACGCATTACTTTCAAGTAACGCGAGCTACTTTTAAGTAACGAGCTACTTCTAAAGTAAAGAAGTTATTAACTTCTACATGGACGATTTAATCACTAGTTGTGACAACTATCAAGCAGCTAATCACCTAAAAAACGAAATAAGTTTCTCATGTTTTGCAAAAATAAGGATTAAATCTGCGGAAGTGGATGTCTAATGATCTTAACTTTCAACTCATAATACCTAATTCGTTTTTCCTTTTGGTGAAAGGCCACCCTATCTAAACAGTAAACAAGACTGAAGTGAAAGGAACCAGGAATCAAAATTCATAAATGGAATATTTTTAAAAGCAATCTCCCAGTTCGGGCCTACGCAAGCCTAATCCATACGATTTTCTCCTTGATTATTGATCAAACTTATATCGGTTAAAGTTCAACAGAGGGAATAGGTGGTGTGAAAATGGCCTCTTCCACATGTGATCTGGTAGTAAAATATGAGGTTTTGTAAGTTTTTGAATTTGTCAATAATTTTTTCAGCCGCAAATATTTCGAATATTTCAGGAAAGCACAAAATGCTCTTGAGGAAAAAGCTAGAAATGAGTGGGGATTTAAGTGGAGCTTTTACTTGGATTTTGACAAAGTGAGTTAAGTAAGAAGTAGTTATATTGTTGAAGTTTTAATAAATTTTTACTTTCAAAAGATTCTCCTGAAAAAGGCTGCTGAACGGGGTCTATCAGAGGCAGAATACAAAAAGAGAACAGTCCTAAGGAAACCAAAAGGTAGTGTAGAACCAAATATTTGGAAAGTGGAACCTGCAAAATTTATGCCAGATACAACAATAGGTGAGAAAGCAATCATTAAATTTAGTCAAAAATTTCATATCAACCTTGAACAAGATCAACTATTACTATTGCGTAAATTAAAAAGAATCATGTTGGCTACGATCTGGACAAAATGTGGTTCCATGGTTCTCTTTCAATATCTAGAGAATGACTTGCCATTTGTTAAATAGATTTTCAAAATGCTTTTATCAGCCTGCAAATATTATTCAAATATTATTAAAATGACTTATCTTGTGCACTCTCTCCAGCATTCCAGCAATCAAAACAAGCTCGCCATTCATATTTTTTATGGTTGTCAGCACAGAAAGCATCACTTTTTCTTTAAAGAACCACACCCCATGAAAAATCTAAGACGATCCGATCCAGACATCTTGCAGACCAATTTGTTGGACATTGACATTTACCTATTTACAAACTTTTATTGGTTTGAATGACAGGCTTCTGTTAAATATTTTATGTCATACCAGTACATTATTGTGTTTTTATACCTTAGATACCATCTACATAATTCATTACTTTATGCCCGTGCGGGCATAAAGTACACCTAATGGCCCGCGCGGGCATAAAGTACATATTATGGCCCTCGCAGGCATGACATAAAAGTTTGTATGCACCACGGGTACTAATAGATATATACCCTCGGGCCAGAGGCCCTCGGCTTTGTAAGATTGTCGCTCTCGGGGCATAATCATCTACTTAGTACCCTTGATACATAAATAACTATTATTTCCTATTGAACTATTATAACCATATAATACCTTGGTTACGATAATCATAAACAGTGTCTTAACTCCCAAGGGAGTTAAGGATTTCATAACTCCCGCGTGGGAGTTGAGGATATCATAACTCCCAAGGGAGTTAAGGATTTCCATAACTCCCGCTTTTACCTTGAATAGGTGAAATTTTGACAAAAAATCGAAATTTTGGTTTATGGTTTATTCCTTCATAAAAATGGATAAAATACAGTAAATTCAGTAGGAAATAAAATTATCTATGTACCACGGGAATTATCAGGTGTTAATACCCACGAGCAATTGGTGTACACAAACTTTGTCCTGGGGTATTAACACCCTCATAATTCCCTTGATTCAACTATCAAAAGGTCTTCAAAATATCTGCCGTCAGATTTCAACTCCCAGTTGCTGATTGATAGGCTGAATTATTCATAGGTAGTACTGATGATGGCGAAAGCCTAAAGCGCCCTACTATACGCTGAATTTTAATAATAGTTATTTATTTCACTAGGCAGAAAAGTACAAGATTTAATGCCGCGGCTGGTGTTTCATAGCCGGAGGCATAGCCGAGGCTAGGAAACCAGCCGAGGCATTAAATCTACTTTTCTGCCATGTAAAACATATAATTTTTTCTCCGAATGTTCAAATTCTCACATGGACATCTTTTTTATATTTATTTCATTCATTATTATGAATTATCCAAATAATCAAATTATTTTGACAATTGTCATTGTCACCATCAATTTCAAATACCAAATTGAGTGAAATTATTACCTGGAACGTTGTGTCACTGTCACTTTTAATGCCTAGGCAGTAAAAGTCCACTTTTACTGCCTAGGCAGTAAAAATACAACTTTTGATCTTGTCAAGTGTCATTAAATGGCCGCTTTTACTGTCAATCGGAGAAAAATAAAATTTGCATGAGATGAATATAGGTACTTTGTTTCTTTCCGAATCCAAGGATGTTGATTTGGGTTTTTTCAGACGCCATTTCTAAGATAATCCAATCCAATATTGTTATCCATGGGTAAAATTGTTTAAACACACTGCAATATCTATTTGTTAATTTAAAAAAATATAATAATTAGGTACCTATTAGAGATAAAAAAATTACAGGAGCCGACCAATAACATTGATTGTTGATCGTAGTAACGAAGATACTTTTGAAGCTAATAGCTAAGCAATTGAGTATAGCAAAAACTCCACCATTCATTTGAGATGCCACATAAATTTGTGTTCAGTGATTATGGAAGTGTTTTCGAGCAAGAACAAGGGGTTAAGGTGAGGAGGTAGGAGTTAATTCCACTAGGCTAGTCTCCAGAAACTGCATCTTCTCAAGACCGTCCACGAATAGCTTAACCCTTCACGAGGTAGCCCTGTTTTTAACTGAAGGTTGCCGATCTAGAGCAGTAAATCAGTAAAGCGCGAACAAAATATTCCTAAGCTCGAAGTGTTAGCCACCATGCTGACCGGGAAAAAACGTCTCAGATCTGAGGGCAGCACCCATGGCTCGAAAGGGGATTCGGTGCAGGTGAAGAGGCCCAAAGCTTCTGAGGTCAAACCAGGAAATCCGGAGATGACTTCGTACAGTTCCGCAATATCTGCTGGGTTCAGGGTAACCATAGTGCCAAATACGTTTCCGATCATTATGATCGATGATCCACAATGCCAAAAGATCATAGTAGCATGAAACACCATCATAACCGTCATAGATCAGATGGAAGGGGGGAGACCGCTTTCCTGGATTCGAAAAGTTTCGTTGCGCTCCACAGGAAATCATTATGGTTGGATGCGGGGACCAGTAGACTCTGGTGGCTGAACTGGTTCAACTCCTCGATAAGGCCCTGGGAAGGGGCATCGCTGCGCGTGATGCGATACACTCCCAAGGTTGTCAAGATGATTGCGGTAGTCCACGGACTTCCAGACGACCCCAACACCATCCTTAAGCATCCTAGTTGACAGCCACCATAGGAAAAAGCCAAACAGGGCTATTATGGTTTTTGGAGTTGCGAGGTCTTGCGACGATAAAACTACAAGACGTACGCAGGGGCCCTTGTCACTTCTCGGAAGGAATGTCACCACCTAAGCCATCCCTGGAAGAGCCAGGCAATCGCTCTGGAAGATCTGGAATAAGAGGTGACCGAGCTCATGGCTCTAGTGGATGTAGATGAAACTCCACCGGGGACACAGGCTTGACCATCCATCCATACCTAACCTAGAAATAAAAATATCCCATACCATGGATAAAAACGCCTTATTTCTTCAAAGTAACTTGCATCATAGCAAAGGAGCGACCTTCTTCAGAACAGATCGACAATAGTTTGCTTGGCCTATCTGCCCTATGACTCAGCAGATGATCCTCCAACACGGGAATTCATCGATTTGGTGGAGTCTGTAGGTTTGTTTTTTGTGTTGTTCGAGGCAGCACTTCCTGTTTTGGGGCGTTTGTTTGTGAGAATTTTATATAGATTATCTGCCATAATCTGAAATATTACAGCTGAGTTCAAGTTAGTGCGACACAAACAAACAAGCTTTGTAACTCACTAGACCTACCGTTGATTGTCGGATGAGGTGTGGGGCAGCACCGACACGAACAGGAGAGGGTGTTATGGAGTAAATACCTTATTCACACCAGGGATTTAGAAATCCTGAACCGTGGTAGCGCACTGACCTTTGTCACAAGAGGTGATATACTTGACATTGAGCTCACTCTCCATGGTCCCGATAAGCAAGTGGACACTGGACAGTATCTGACGGAACCATCCCTATCGGATCACAAACACATGTTCTTCAGCTAGCAACCTTGATCACAAGGTTGGGCTCAGTAACACGAACTGGGCCGATACCTAAAGGCTTAGCTAGAAGAGTTTTTCACGACATTCCGCAGCGCAAGGTAAGGAGGAAACAGCCGAATTTATACGCAACGTAATCCTGATGCGTATGAACGAAGCTTCCGACCTATCGAGGAAAGATAAGTAAACCCCTTGGTGGAACTCTGACTTCGACAAGGCTCAGAAAAAAACTCGGTCTAAATCACTAGTTGACTGGAACTCGGACAGCTACAAGCAGTCTCAGCGCAGATACAAAGATCTAATACTAAGAGAATCGTTCAGGACGTTCTGCGAAAATGTTGACGAGCTTCCGGCAGCCGCCAAGTTCCTAAAGATTCCCTCAAAAGATTCAAGACAAGAGCTGGGGTCACTAAAGCTCTCCTCCGGTAGTTATAGCGCTATTGCAGAGAAAGCACTTGGACAGGAGCACAGGTTAGCTCCTGGAAACACATTTTCCGTGCTCTGAAATCCTGCTACCTGGTGAACCATCAATGCATGCTCCACAACCACAAGCTGGCGCAAGGCCAGCTGACTGAAAGATAGCTGCGAACGTGGTATCAGAAAACTCCATAAGATGGGCCATCCACACATTTGGAGCTTTTCGGAGTAGGGAATATAGGATGGCTCTGGGTGTATTTCTAGACATCGGAGGGGCATTTAATAACACCTTCTTCGACTTGATAATGCAGGAAGCTCTGGCATAAATAGTAGGTAGGTACACCATTGTCAAATATATAATTATCTGTGTCATGCTGGAAGGCAGAACCATTACGAGCTTGATTGGGAGTGCGAAGATCAGCTCGTAGCTAGAGGCTGCCCGCACGCGGGTTGACTATCACCTCTGTTGTACTACCTAGTGTTGGATGGGCTGCTCCGCACTCTGAACACTTTCACCGAGGAAGGTATGTACACTCAAGGTTACGCAGACGATCTTGTCATCGTTGTGGCTGGTGGGGTACCCAGCACCATTGACAGGATCATGCAAAGAGCTCTTAACATGATCGAAAGATGGTGTAATAATCACGGGCTTCCGGTAAATCCGCACAAGACCGAGGTAGTACCATTTACAAAGCGAAGAAACGTGGACCTGGAAGGGTTCGCGCTAATCGCGCTCTTCGGATCGAGACTTGCTCCATCCGGTACACAGCAGTGATAAGGCCTATAATCAAGGTACGGCAGCTTCCAAATCAATCAAGCAATCAACATTATGGTAAAGAATTGGAAAAAATGAACAGCCAACATATTATGATGATGTAGTATTGTTGTAAATCTCTAAAGTTAGGGGGACCTGGTGCAAAATCTTGCAACACTGCCCGATGACTAGAAAATTCGCGAATGAAATTTCACCAGGCGATAAATAGTTTAGCGCTTGATGTATCTGGAATCAGGATGATGTCTTGGCGATTGGCAAAGCCAATTGTTTGCCAGGATTCGAAGTGTCAAACTACAGTTGATTCCATAAAGTGTGCCTTGCATACAGTTTCAAAAAGAAAGAGTGAACTTCCTTGCAAATGTGATTTCTCCAAAACGAATAGGAACAGAGATCCAGGAAACAGACTTTCGTAGAGCTGAAAAACACATTGTTCGAGTTCTAGCGTATCTCGTGAATAAACGACTATTTGCTTGGCAACTTAGAATAAGTAGAAGCTGTTCTCTCCCTCCCAAATTCAAAGTTGCGAAAAAGTTGTCATCGGGTATTAAGAAGCTAAATTTCAGGAGGACTAATCGCGCGTTGTTTAGAGAAATTAAAATTTACAACCAACTTCCACATCAAACACCGGAAAGGAAAGAAGTCATAACAATATCGATAGCTTATCAAGAAGACTGTTAACAAAAACTTTAGGCTCATTCAACAAAAAATATCGAAACAGATACTATTATTACTGACAATATCATTACCCAGGAAGACTTGGGAGAAGAACATAATGATGGAAAGGATTTGGGAGATTTTCCATGACAAGCTACGAAACGGACAGCGACGTGGCTGTCATGGGATTCGGTAGGTACTGACTGGGAATAAGGAAAACGGGAACATCTCCGCTTCATCTACAGTCCGACGGAATGGCCGAGAGGCAATCGGAATCGGACAATCAATCAATGATATAGGATAAACTGGTGTCCCGTGTCCCTATTCTTTCTGACTTACAGAAGCTCTCAGCACGAATCAACCGGTTATACTCTATCAATGCTATTGACTGAAACAGAAATGAATTTTCTTATAGACCTAGATCTAATCCACCATCAGCCGCTGTACTTTTAGTTTAAGTGGCTTATCTCCGGGAACGGATTACGTCTGAGCAGCGACAGAATAAAAATGAGTCTCGACATACACCATGACTAGAAAACTCGCTAATGGAATGGAACGACCGGAACACCCAGATTTTTGAGCTCAATGGTAGTTAAACGAAGTATTGCAAGAGAGCTAGTTCAGTCGTGATATTTTATGTCATTCGTCTTTCTTGAATAAACGTTATGATCTACGAACACGCATACCTACATAACAACTTTTTGACTGACAAATTACTTTTGTAACGGCACGCACGTAAATTTTAGACAAAGTCTAAACCGTAAGCGAGCTATCACGTTTTATTTATTGCAAAAATAACGGTTTGTAAATCCGTCAAAAAAATAGGTTTAAAATTAGTCCAAGAATTTACCTTGCTCGTAGAATTGCTAATATGCGTCTGTCTTCCGTTCCTCCCAATACATCGTGCCTATTTTTGGCGCTCAGGTGCTCGAGAGTGGGAATGCGGTACCCATACTATACTGAGAGGTACCGCAAAAGGGTGCCTGGATGAACCAGGCCTAGTGTAGGCTGGGCAAATTTTATATACAACCCAAAAATATATACATTAAATTTATACAATGAACCTTGTTTTCAGTTTCCCCAAAATTACCAAATTAACTATTAAATGCAATTCGATTGAGATCGAACAACTTTTAAATTATATTTGAAAGGAATTAATTCACATGAACTAAAAAATTTAAATGTAGCCGCACATGTTTTAAATGCACCAGAGTCTTCTAGTCTAATTTATGATAACTCTTGAAATATTTGCTGAAACCTTTTCTATCCAAAGAGATTTTTTCATCCTCTGCTCCTATAATACTCTGCACCTCATCTACTGCAAATGTTTTGATGCTTAAACTACGACATATTCTGCTGGTGAGATCCTTTTTGAGTAATCTGAACAAAGAATTAAGGCATTAATTACCATGGCTGTTTTCAGTTGAGTTGGGTATAGTTCTCACTACTTGGCAAAAACCGATATAAAATATCCCTTAGTGCCCCATAAGCTTCAGGCACGAGTTAATGGAAGAATAATACCACTCATTTTCTCGCATGTGATCGATTAGTTCCATATGTTATGTTTATATAAGATTGACCAAGATAAAACAACTCAATAAACGATAGTATCAACAAATTAAACCTTCATTTAAAACTGGGCTCTGGCACTGCTACAAGAATGTCCCGTGTATGTACCTTAGGAGTATCTGCCTTTAGTGCAAATGAAAGGCCTGTTAGCTAGGCAAATCACAAGTGAAAAGTGGCTTTTTTTTTGATTCAGTAGGGAAACTGGGTAACACTGAGACACTTTTTTTTCTAATGAAAATATTTTACCACAAACCTTTAAAATATGATTTTTTTTTTCAGTAACACCCAAGAATAAATCTAAGTTAGAAATGTATTATGTTTTTGATTCTATAGTCACTTACAAAGGCAATATTTGACATAAACAGTTATCATGACATTTGTCTCATTGATACCCATGCAGGGGGTTCAATGAGACACTATATCGAATAAGAAATAATTACTTGATTAACTGAAACAAACTTCTATAAATGACCCAGAGAAAATTTCAAAGCCATGGTAGGATCGATTTTAGTCTTTCCGTAATTCACTGGTTTTGGCAAAATCATCTTAATATCTCTTTTTAGCAACAGTGGCAATATCTCTAAAATCTGGACATTTGGGGAAAAAAAAATCCCTCCTTTTTATCACTTTTCCTTAAAAAAGGTCATTCATAATCATTTTTGTTATCACTATCGATTTCTGATAACAATTTTTCTATGTAAAAGGTAGATTTTTTTCCTTTAATGATTCGGTTGCAAATTCTACTAAAACTACATAGTCTCATCAGTGTTACCCATCTAAACATGTCTAATTCATACCCAAGTCACTTTGAAAAATAAAATGCCATTTTTTAGTCCCCCTTTGATCTTAATTTAGTTTTAATAAATCCATTTAACTGCATAAAAGTTCCCTTATATCACTCAAAGACCATGCGTAATAAAACAATCAGCGTTTTTTCAAATTTCGCCGAAAAAGTTCGTTTGCAAAAAAAAAATAACCGAAAGGTTGTACCCCTTTCCGCGTTGCAGACGAAACTAAAAATGGAAAATGGTTGAAAATAGAACCGATACTTCTCTTAAGATATCATTAATGTCTTATTGCGGCGACACCTATTTAAAAAGTGAAGAAATAGCTAATATTTTGAATGTCTCACTGTTACCCGTGTCTCAATGTTACCCATTTTCCCCTATTTATTTTTGTAAAATAAAAAAAAAAAAACATTTTTTACAAAAATTTGATACGGGTCGTATAACAAGATACTAATCATTATTATTTTTAGGAATGGTTGGTTGGAGAGCCCAAGAAGAGTATTCCCTTGAAAAATTTGGTCGAATGTATATTAGTCCCAAATACACTCTTCCCTACGAGCCACCACTCAATTCAATTTTTCTGGGATAATATTTATACACTCAGAGCCTCTAAATTGAAACACTTAAAACGCTGACAGTTCCAATAATTCGAAAACCAGTACGATAAATTAGGACGCCAATATTAAATTGTATTAGTTTTCCATTAGAGGATTGCCTTTGTCTCTCGCAAGCGAGGAGTGGTATTTTTCATTAGAGGTAAGCAGAAAGTGTCGCACCAGCCTTTAGCTTAGCTTAAAAGGTTTTAGTTTAGTGCCGGGCCGGATTTATTGAAGTGTGGACAACCGTGGAAAAGTCCTGCTGGCTCGAGCGTTTGTCTATTGTTTAACCGGCCAGTCCAGTGGGATTTATTTTTATTTTGTTTTTGTCAGGGAATTTATATCGTTCACTTAAAATTTCTAATGGAATTCAATAGGGTCAGAACTAAAATAAAACAAAATATTGTTAGTTGAAACTTTACTTAGATCCGAACGTTTTTTGAGCAAATGCTGGTGGTAGTTGTTCCAAGATGGATAATGGATTGGCTTCAACAGCAACAAATTCACCTTCTTGTATAGCTAAAAAATGTACTAGATGCTGAAACACAAATTTAAATTACACTAAGTTAAAAATTACTCATTATTAAAAATTTACCTTGTATTTTTGTATGGTCTTAATTTTTAGTTGTTCCGAAGCATGCCCATTGACCATTGGACTTTGTTTATCTGTTTTAGCCATTTTAATAGATTTTGAATTAGTTTTTGATGATTTCTGGAAGAAAGTTTAAGAATAAAATTATGCAAAAATCCTCTTAGTTCTTAGATTAATTTAACTACCAAAGATCCTATGTAAATATCAAAACTAGTCTTGTTGACACAACATTAAAACGATGCACGACGCTCTGGACGAATTATTCATCGCGCGTTCAGCCATGTTTGCACTCGACATGGCGGACAGGACAATAAATTAAGAATTAATCCCCGACTTACGGTCTCCCGAACAACAGGTATTTTAATTAAAAGAGTGTCCTGGGGGTAGAGTATAAACCCCCTCTGTTACCATAAAGGGGCAGACGGACAAGATAATTTTTATACTGTTCTGGGGGCATGCCATCGATCTTGCTTCAGGGGATTTTTTTTTTTTTTTGGTTGAAATACTTTTTCACTCCAGCGAACAGAAGATTAATTTTGAACCTTTTATCTTAAAAGAAGGAACTGCTCCAAGACTTGTCACACTCTTCTGGTTTTAAAAGAGAATGTTGCAATTGTTCTAAGGGATTTTTTTTGCAGTAGTAATTAATTGTAGAGGGTTTTATATTTTTAATTAAATGTACAAGTTCAAGTTAGTTTAGAATGTGATAAATGAGCTTGGGGTTGTCGGTTTTGTAAATTAATTAAACTGTGTATGTTTCAGATAATTTTGAGGGGAATAATTTTCAATAATCTTTTGACGCGATGATGTTAATGACAAATCATGCTTCATGCAAGCATACATGTTTTTGCTCTACTTTCTGAGGAGAAAATTATTTATTTTTTTGCCAGTTGTGTTTTCTGCCCCATTTAATTAGTTAACTACTAGAAACGCGAAAATGAGATTTTGAAGATCTATTTTTGAGGTGTTAAGCCAAAACTGAGGATGAAACATACTTAGCATGTCGAAAGATTGAAAACCAAAGAGCAAAGTTGCGAATTTTTTATAATTAGGTAAAACTTGAAAACATGAGATTTTGAGAATCTATTTTTGAGGGTTGGAGGTGAAGAAATTGAACAGTAAAAAGAAAAAGAGTGAAACATTCCCCAACATAATTTTTTAAAAATTCGATTTCCTCCAAAATGCCATTACCTTATCAACATACATTTTTTCCCTACAACTTTGCTAATTTCAATTCGATCTGAACGTAATTGAGCTCAAATTAGGGCCAAATACATCATCTGCGAATCTCTAGTGCCTAGTTTCAATGCAGCTTTAATAGTTTCGCAGCTGCAAAGCTTCAAAGACATTGACTTCATGTTTAACCACGTGAACAAGCAAAAAGAAATTTTCATTCATACATTTGCTTGTCTTGAAACTACTAATATATCAAAAATTCAAGCAATTTCATCAAAACCACTTTTCAATGAAAGGATAACGCACACCTAATATGGAATTTTTGGGCTCTATGGATTTTGCCCATTTTTTGATATGTTGTAGAGGATTTAATTCTGAACAACCTTTAAATGGGACGAAACCTTGTAGGTATAACGGTCTTTGAGATATGAGCGTTAAAAGATGAACTTTTTTTGCAACTTTTCATGTGGAGAGTATACGAAAAACTGGTATTTATCAGTCTAAATTTTGACAGGTCGACATATTTCACGTCACTAACAAATGTCAACATAGGCTAAGGCCGGGACCGCATTGGCGCCAACATTGACCCCAGTGCGATCCCGGCCTTAAACTATGTTGACATGTTGACATTCATTTTCAAAGTGACGTAAAATATATGAACCTGTCAATATTTTGACTGATAAACACCAATATTTCGTTTATCTTTCAACGCTCATATCTCAAAGACCGTAATACCTACAAGATTTCGACCCATTTAAAGGTTGTTCAGAATTAAATCCTCTACAACATATCAAAACATGGGCAAAATCCATAGAGCCCAAAAATCCCATGTTAGGTGTGCGTTATCCTTTGTGCGTGGTTTTTAGATTTATTCCAAAATGACAATGACATACCTACAATTTTACAATTTTTTTATTGTCAATTCCATCCCTCCAACATTTTCCTTGATAAAAAAATACAAGTTCACTCAATGCCTGTTTTTTGAAAATGGGATGTTTTCCAGAATGACTTTGACACACATTTTGCCTTAAATACTTTGTTAATTTCTATACAAAGTTAACGTAATCAAGTCAAAGTCAAGCTCTAATAGTTATTTACATTACAAGTGCGTTTGTGAGCATGATTACAATAACGAGTGTTTAGGATTAGAACGACGAGGTCGTAGACCGAGTCGTTCTAATCACACGAGTTTTGTAGTCATGTTTAAACGCACGTGTGATGTACAACGTTTTATCTACAAAGCGAAAAATAAGAATATTTTTCCAATAGACCTATCTATTTTTACCTGTATGCGCGCGCAACACGAGGCAATGCATTTTTATTGGCTAACTAGTACAGGTGTGGAGTCATCCTTTTGCACGCTGGGCATCTCCTTGTCCTTGTTCATTGCCCGTGGTATGACAGGGATAAAATTATGCTTGATATTCAACTTGACGTAGTTTGACAGTTTTGTGGTTTGACAAGTGATCGATTTTCAATTGTTTGTGTTTTTGATTGACAAATACGTTGCATGTCACGCGGTTTTCCTCCTTCCTTTTTTATCTCGTGCAAATAATAAGAACGGATTGCTACACGTAAGTCCAACATAATTTGGTACGTTTTGCCTCGTCTTGCGCAGTAAGCGTTCTGCGTCTTTTTCTATCTAATAAAGTTTTCGTAATATCACCTCTTTGTTTGGTAAAATAGATAGGTCTATTATTTTCGTTCATTAATAGTTGTCTACGTTCATTTTACCTTTACAGATTTACCTTTGACATTTGTCAAATCACCAAAAATAGTAGTGTTATAGACTCATAACCTCGTCCATAACACCACTCGTTGTGTTATGAATTTATAACCTAGTCTATAACACCACTAGTTGTGTTATGAGTCTCATGACGTAACTCAAATACTAAAAAAATGGTCGTAGATAAAAGATTTTTAAGTCAGAATTTTCACAAATGAAAAATCTTAAGAATTTATGGGAATACATTCAGGGGAAATGCTTGAATGATTAGTTTTTTCAAATGATAAATTATTAGGTTTTCAAAGATTCTAAAAAAAATTGTTTCACTACATAAACTATGTCTTATTTGCACTTACCAGTCCATCCTTATTAATAATCACTACATTACTGTCATCATGAAGAAATATAACATTTTTATCCCTAGAATCAAAACTGATAGTTCTAACAGGATGTGTTTTAGATTTCCAACCATTAGAGTTCTCTAGTTTTCTTGACAAATCAGTAAATTTTTTGTGGGCAAGATCATATTCAACAACCTGAAAAAAATTGATTTTAACACTATTTCCCACATTTTTTTAACCTCATTACCCTATTATTAGCGTATACCACAACTACATTTCCAGAATTAATTCCCAGAGCTGTTGGGGGCACATTATATTTAGGAAGTTTTGCTTTGAAGCTATAACCATCTTGGTGATGAGCAAAAATTACAATGTTGCTTTTGCAATCAGCTACAGCAAAGTATTTTCCACAAGTGGATACAGTTAGTAAACTGACTGTATCAGAAAGATACTCTAAAAAAATTATTACATATTTAAAAAAAAAAATAATAATAAACCTGGTAAATGTTAACCTTTATTTTTGTCTATTCTCTGACTTATGAAAGGATTGCCATCTTCCCAATCATAAATTGTAATACTTCCATTATCCAAAGCAACAATGAGTTGTTTATATTGATTATTAAAAGTCCCTTGCACGCATGGAATATTATCGTCATCAAGATCGTCCAATTTTGTAAGTTCAGGTTTATCTTCTACCTAAAATATTTCTACTATTATTATTTGTTTTAGTTTTTTATAGCATCGTCTTACCATTTTGAACTGGTACAACCTAAACCCAGTAGAAGTAGCCAAAAAAATCAATTCGCCATTCAATGAAACACTGGAACAAACAATCGCTTCTGGTTCATCTTCTTCTGACCAGTTTTTACCAAGTTTTTGAATGGTGACTAACTTTTTTGGTTTAGATTTAAGCTCGACAGCTCCCTTGTAACCGTCAGACACTTTTTGCCCAGAGCCCAATGACCAGAGTTCGATGCGTTTAGCATACCTTCATAATTGAATAACAAATTTTTATTAAGATTATTTATTTTTCGGTTAGTATTTGATTTACCTAAGTAAAATAAGTCCTTTGCCTACTTCTACACAAGGGCTTTGTAATATTGGGGCATATTTAATAAGAGTTTTTGGAGGATGATAGCTGCACACCAGATAACTATCAATTCCTGCAGAATATAGTTTGCCTTTGTTGAATACCATAGCTCTAACATCGTGATCGTGAATTTTTCTTTGGATAGATTTAACCCATTTATCATTAGAACCTATAAAAATAATCTATTAATAAAAAGGCACATATTATGTACCTATGTGTTTCATGTTTCAACAAAGAGTGACTTACCAACTTTGACTTTTTCAAAATTTGCTATTGTAGGATCCACACCGGCACAATAAATGGACTCTTTTTTTTCATCAAGGCAAATAGCTATTATGTCAGCCTTGTGGGATTGATAACTCTCTATTTGAGCACCAAGTTTTCCATCCCACAAAGTCAAAATGCCTCTGGAATCTCCACTACAACCAACGAATGTTGAAAATTGTAACTGATTTAGAAGAAAGTGCATACCTGAATATAGAAAAATCGTCTAAAACTTCTAGACACCACACTATAGTATTTTTTTTAGTTTCAGACTGTCCCAAGACCATTTTATGTATAGCATGTCCTGTTTTAACATTCCAAATTCTAATAGCATTGATGCTTCCTGCCGCAACAAAATCCCCTTGACTGCTATATTTCAAGCAAATAATTCTTCCCTCTTGTTTGTCAAGAAATTTCTCAAACCTAACCTCATCTTCATTCAGTGAAAAAATATTTATGTAACCCTGCTCAGTACCAACAGCTAAATGGGGTTTAATAGCATCTAGGCACGTAGCAGCTTCACCAGTGACAGCCCATTTATTTTTAACATTTAATCTGAATAAATCGTATTCCACTAGCCAACCGTGTAGGCCTACACTGAAAAGACGGTTGTCACACCATGATAAGCCTTCAACGCTGAAATTTTCTAAATTGGAGGCGATGGTGCGATCAATGAATGGTAGATTGGATAGATTCCATATTTCTATGCTGGCATCTGACCTGAAAAAAAAATGACTGTCAGAAAGAAGACCTGGCTTTGAATAAGATACAAAGCTGTTGGATTATGATAAACTTGCTAATAGAGAGTTTCTATATAGAAATATGGATTAGGTATGGGTAATAATTCAAGTTAATGTAATATTAGTTTTTTGTTAAGGGATTTTCGTGTTGAGATTATCAATGGGATTTCAAGTACACATAGACGTACTTTAACGGAAAAATCGCCCCATTATATGTGTGTCAAATTATTCAATACGCTCGCTAACCAAATACAAAGTCTTAATTCAGGTAAAAAATTTGAAATAAAAATTAAGAAATTGTTAGTAAACTTAGAACCATATTCTTAAGAGATTTTTGCCCAGATCTATAATAATTTTGTATCATTGTGATATTTTGACTCTGTTGCATTTCATGTATAATACGCGCAACAATATACCGTTGACTCCTACTGCAATAAATTAACTACCTGGATTAGACCCTATTGTATAGGCCCCAACCTCTTCAAAGCTCAATAAATGGAATCAGGGTCGGCTTAAACATTTAGGTACCTTTATACCAACCAACCACATTATTTATTTTCATAATTTAAGATAATTGGACATTTTTCGTTTAAGGTAAGGGTAAAATAACGATAACAAGTATTATTTCAAAAATTATAATTCAAAAGTATACAAAAAATATATAAGATAAGAAATATAAAAAAAAAAGAAAAAAAATATAATAAAGATATTAAGAAACACAATAGGAATTACGAAATTCTAAAACTACTGATAATTTATTCATTATTTAACTCTGTATCACTATCACTATTGTCATCATCTAGACCTAAACTTATATTTAAGGGTTGAACATTTGTAATGAAACAATTATAAGAATTTTCCACCTTCAGTACATGATTTACACAGTTTTTCCAGTTGTCTGCAGAAATCTTTTCTACTTCGTTTTTAATTAATTCTACTACAGATGCATTTAATGTGGGAGAAGTATTATTTCTCCTAATATTCGATTTCAATTGGTGCCATACTAGCTCGATAGGGCTAAATACACAATAGTATGGAGGAAGGCGCAACACTGTATGTCCATTTTTGGCTGCAAGTTTGTCACACTCGTATTCCTTATTGATTTTGAAAGACTTTAATACTTCTAGCAGTTCTCGTTTTTTGTAAGTTTCTTCAAAATATAAATCATTTTCAATCATGAAATTTTGAATTTCTTCCTTCGTATTATTAGAATTGGGAATGATTTTTGCTTGCCGACTATGATAACTAGCATTGTCCATTACGATGACGCTATTTTCGGGGATATTTTTAAGGAGTTTATGCTCAAACCAGTCTTCAAAAAGTCGTGCGTCGGTATCTTGATGGTAGAATCTGATATGTTTTTGGCGGAAAGTAACAGACAATTTGGAACAAATCCGTTTTCTGAACCAGCATGTATTATTGTGATTCTTTTGCCTTTATTTGAAGGTGCCTTGGTTTGACATTTTTTAGAAGAATCATTCCAACCTTTTCTTGGAGTATCATGGGTATCGAACCATGTTTCGTCAAGGTAAATAATTGGCCGATTTTCTTCCCTAAATTGTTTAAGAGCTGTTAAATATCTAAGTCGCCACTCCCGCAAACGTTGAGATTCCATTAATGTTTGCCTCTTATTAATTGTTCGGTATTTAAAACCTATTTTACTCAATATTGTCCTGAGGCTTGAAAGGCTACAAGAGATATTTGTTTCATCTTTTAACAGCCGTTTTCTGAGGGAAATCAAAGTCGGTACAGTTTGTTCCTCATACATTTGATAAATCTTCCTTCTCAATAGATCTATGTCATTTTGGTCAATGCTTCTAAATGTGCCAGAATCACTCCGTTTTTTTCTAGGATTAACAGGTTTAAGTACTATGTCTCTTACCGAAGATAAAGGAGTTTTTGTTAAAGTAGACGTCTCTGCTAATGCGTTCGTTGAATTAATATTTCTACTCAACAAATATTGATACACATTTTTAATTATTTGTTTGGCATCGATAGATAAATGCTTTCTTCGAAAAATGCCCCCCTATCAGTTCACTCAAAAGGACGCCACATAATACCACAGATAAGTCCAACTGAAAACTACTCTCTGGAAGACTACTAAAAATTAAAATTATAAAGTCAGTTGCTACTATTTATATTTTGGTTATTTTGACCTGATATGTAATATAGACATAGATATTCTGAAAACTCAGAATAATCTAGGTCATCAGGTATGTAACATACCTACCTGTTATAAATAGAATTTGTGATAATACCTGAGGTTCCGGCTCTGCTCGAAAAAGGTTTAAATTTGGGGTTTTATGATTTATTACTTGGTCAAAAGGATAATGGGTGTTAATTTATTGCAGTAAGATTCAACGGTAAATTATATTGTTGCGCGTACTATACTCTATTGTATCATTGTATTAGGATCTTGAATAATGAAAATTATTATTGTTATTATTATTATTATTATTATTACCACATGCACGCCAGAAAATGGCGTTTCTGAGTGCCTTTTCTCATAAATTTCAGCTTTTGAATCTCAGATTAACTTAGTGTATGAAGTTTGGGGGATCCCGAATGATTATTTAGACACAAAATCTCAACATAAAAAAATTTGAAATTTCATCATTTTAGTACATATCTACATAGTAATACCAGTACATAATATCTGATGCATATGATAAGTACATACAGCTGGTACTCACATAAAAATAGTTATTTTTCCACAACTGTCAAAAAATGATGATGTTCGCACACTCATGACAGTTTGCGAAGTGACACTTTTTTTCCCAGGTATTGATTTTTTAACGTTCCCATGACACCAGTGTGCGAACTAGCTATTTCGAACCCACATTTCGCGCACTTGATACAAAAATAACTATTCTGTATCTAGTGCGCGAAATGCTACTTTGATGATCAAGAACTGACTTTTTTAACGAGGCGCAGCCGAGTTAAAAAAATAGTCGAGATCACCAAAGTATTTCGTGCACGAGTTGCAAACAATATTTTTTCTACAACTTCATTTAAATATCGATCATTCGAAGCTTAAATTGCCTTTACAATCAAAGGCAGGTGAATTTTAATTATATTTGGATTCTTGTCAGGTGTCAGGTATTTGTTACCCTCGTTGTTACCTGAGTGTGCGAACTATTATCCGTTCACAATCCGATGTCCACAGGTAAGTACAGGTAAAATCACCTTTCAATGCTATTTGATAGGGAAAGGTGATAAATTTACCTGCACCTGTGGACATCGGATTGTGAACAGGATAAAGGCATTTCGCAGACTGGAGAATCATTTCGCACACGGCGTCAATGGGAACGTTAAAAAAAATATCTACCTGGGAAAAAAAGTGTCACTTCGCAATGTCATCAATGTGCAAACATCATTATTTTTTGACAGTTGTTGAAAAAATAATTATAATAATTGTTTTGGCAATTTTTGCCGCTTGAATAATGATCATTCTCAAATCTCAAAATCAGGTTTTTTAACACATCTTCCAAACAATCTGAAATTGATGTTTGGTGCATTTCAGCAAGGATTTATTTATCTCCATAATAGGAAACTGTGTTCTACTACACTTAAAACATAGTCATACCAAATATCAAGCATTAAAAATCAGCAGTTAATTTTTTATAAATATTTGAAGTTACGCTTGAAACATCGCCATTTGAAACGACCGATTAGTGTGACGTCACTCGGCAACAAAATTCCGATGACAGTGACGAGCACTTCGAACTTCGAGCAGGTAGGTTAAGATTATGGTTATGTTGGTATGTATGCAGTTTCTGATAGATTTGACATTGGCAACATCAGCAGCACATGACGTGGCAGCGGCACGACCCGATTATTACTGCCTTGTGACGTCACGACCCATAGAAACACGTTTTTGATCGCGTCATGAGTTTCGAATTATTTGGTATTTTCATTTGAAGATTTCGGACACCAGAGATAAGATATTATATTTTTTTTTCTCCAAACGTCAGAAAAACGTCACTATGTTAACTCCTGTCAAGATGTCAGAAATTTGATTTCTATGCTGCTAGGCAAATCCAGCGGGTTAATACCTGTCGAGGTGATAGAAATTTAATTTCTATGCTGCTTGGCAACCCCAGCGGCAGCAATAGTACTTTTAGTGCCGCTGGAGCGGCAGTAGAAGTACTTTTAGTGCCGCTCGTACTTTTACTGCCGCTGAACCATTCACTTGCCCCCGAGGTTACCCCATTCGTTTGGAGAAAAAATAGCGTGTTGCATACGTAGTAGAAGCACTTTTTTGTGCTTCAGCAGTATTGCAAGCCTCACTACGTTCGGCTCGCAAACCTACCCCTTCAGCACAAAAAAGTAAAGCTTCTACTCCTAATACAACAATATACTATTCTATGCTGCTTGGCAACCCCAGCGGCAGCAAAAGTACTTTTAGTGCCGCTCGTACTTTTACTGCCGCTCAACCATTCACTTGCCCCCGAGCTTAACCCATTCGTTTAGAGAAAAAATAGCGTGTTGCATACGGAGTAGAAGCACTTTTTTGTGCTTCAGCAGTATTGCAAGCCTCACTACGTTCGGCTCGCGCAGCATCACTATGAAGTAATAAAAAAAAGGGACCAGGGTAATGTAAACAAGCTTGTTCCTTCTCATCTATTTCAATAATACTGGTCATTCGGAATTCAGCAGTAGACTATTTACCATGGAGGAATAAGCTATTAAAAAAGTAATAATTATGTATAGGTATAAGCATTTTGAATTTAGTGAGCATTCTTGACCGAATTTTCTAATAATTGATTTATTAGTGTACAAATTATTGAATTTCGTAAGTACCAACTACTATTTATATCCTTTTGATCCTGCCCTTCAGGTCCTAGAAAAGTCCCTCCATGCACTTATAAACTTTTCAAAGGAATTTACCTTTTTTTTTTGGGGTGATAGGTTCAGAAATCAGAATTTTGGTAAGCTACTTCTAGTTAAGCAAGTTTGGTATTGGGCTTTGAGCATTTG